GAAAGTTTATTCTACCGTGCGTTCACCGACGGTGTATCACAATCTCTCGTTTACTCCTCGTCGGGAAATCGTGTACCGTTACTGAACCAGTCGTATGATGAATATTGCATCATTCATGATTAGTTTACACATGTTGATTTTGGTTAGGCCTATATACTTTTATACTTTCTTATTGAACCATAATTTGGTAACTTATTAATTCCGTCTATAATGTTTCCCCCATCTGATTTTAGGTCTTTCTCAAATAAAATCAGGTGGAGGGTTGAGATGGTGGGATCCAGTATTTCCTGCACGAGGGCAGCGCAGGACCGACGTGGATGGTTTCTGCTTGGGGAGAGGCCTTCGCCCTGCAGTGGGCCGATAACGGCTGAAATAATGATGATGTTTCTGATTTAGAATTTATACTGCAATATACAACTTTCTTTCGATTGATATGCAGTTGCCACTATGGCCTCAAAATGGAGATCAGGGTAAAAACTATTTCGGGTCACCGAATAATTCGTAACACCATTAGTTTTGATGACCTATTTTTGTAGAAAGGGTCATGATTAATTGAATAGTGTATGAAAACTAATGGCGGCTGTAGTTAACATGGATTTAAGGTATACTTTACACGGTTAACATTGATAGATACTGGCATAAAGCTATTAGTTGTTAAATGAGAGTTTGTATCTGAGTTACAGAATTCTTGCTTAGCCTAACAACTATAAGCTTAGTGCTAGATGATTGGCAACTTGTCATATTGCGCGCTTCAGTGACTGTAAGCAATATTTATAAAATATTTCAGCATTAGTAAATAATAAATAATAATAGTAATAATAATAATAATAATAATAATAGTAATAGTGATAGTGCGGAGGAAACTACTATAGGCCTATAAACTAAAGAAACAAGAAAGGTCAATTAAGAACCTTTGATTTTCCTAGGTATATTGTGTAGCTGATACAATGATATTTTAGACTAGTATTTGTGTAATAACTTAGGTAATTATACAAGTTGTTTCGACGTTTGCACACGAACCGAAAAAAGTGAAGCAAACAGTCTACTAATGAAAAATTATTGCACGGTTTGGGATAAGAAAACAACATTGGGAGTTAAAGTGATGACGTCACGACTGATTTATAATTAGTTTTATGTGAGCTATATTTTGCTGATTACGTCAGTGCCATGAATATATTCCTGTCGTTCAGTGATTTATGACAGCGGATAAGAATATTTTCCGGAGTGTTTACATCTTATACCTCATGTTTTACTCGCATATCGTTGTTGACAGGTATACCCTTCTGTGAGGCAATGTGGGATAGTACGTTTTGTTGGCCGACAACTTTGGCAAATGAAAGAACAGACATGAAATGTCCGGATAATTTCATCGTTTTAGACCCAGAAAGTAAGTATAGCATGACAAAAAGATATAAAAACGGGAAACTGAATTTGATAGGTTTATTAATATTGCAAATTTTCTAATAGGCCTATGTGTCTAATTATTGATTTCTAATTTAGACCCATTTAATTGTCTTTTTTCAATTATATTTGTTATGAACATGATAATTATTCTTATTATTTTAATAGGAATTTTTAAAGTACCAACTGATTACCTACTTTTTTAACACTAATTTCACCCCTCTAATTCACAGACCCCTCTATGTCGAGACCGGGACCACCTTTTTCAAAGTCCCAAATTTTATTGGCAAATTTCAGTTTTTATGAATTTATCCACTACTGTAGGAAGTGCCCTCTGTCTCCTAGATTAGGCCTACTAGAATCTCTGCCACTGCGATGCCCATCCCATCAGTGACCAAATTTATGAGAAGATGCTGGCACGAAGTATTTTTGAAGGTTATATTAATCCTGACTTTATCTTGAATGCCTGGCACTGTATCCAATTTTATAGTACTGTACCTCCATGTGCAATAATGCTGGTACCCTTCAGTGTTTTATAATTCACCAGTTTGACAGCTTTTTTTAGTCGTCCGTGAGAAAAAAAACCCCTGTGTTGTCACATGATTTGAACCCAGGACCCCGGGATTGGAAGGCAAGCATCTTAACCACCAAGCTACATCTCCACTTGACCATTCAATAATGATGGATTGATTAATCAATTGTTTAATTAATTGAATAATTGACTGGATAATCGATTGATTGAGTTTTTGAATTAAAATATTTCGGTGTAATCCCACGAAAGTCCGAAGACTTATTCCCAGTGGTGTCTTCCTGGTGGTGAATTTAGCAATTCTCGGATGAGTAAAGCGATGCGCTATTATAACTTGCATCTCAGCTTTCCAGTTGAAACACAAGGTGAGCATCATTTGGAATTGAACCAGGGACTCACCAGAGTAATAAAGATTTCCACGTTTTAATGCACAAATACTGGCTACGCCAGTTGAGCCGAGGGAGCTAAGCTACACTCTAAGATTTATATTATGGTAATAGATTGAGAATAGAATAATAAATGAACTTTACACAATTGATACAACAATGAATGGAAACTTCCTCTTCATTGTTATCGTCATCATTATTATTATTAATAATATTTCTTTTCACACACTGTACTATTATTAAACATCTTATTGCTTTTTTATAATTAAATGTTGTAGTATAACCAGTTTTATAAACATTTTGTAAATAACTTGCCTGCTTAAACGTAAACATGATCAATGTTCATTTTCTTTTCAAACAGAAGAATCTCAAAACTTCCGTAGTTTCTAAAGATTTTTAGTCTGGTTACCTTTAATTTTGAAATGGCTCCGTAAAAATTTCTGAATTTATTATTTTGATTTATTATAATTGGTAATTAGAAATTGTGATTGAAAACAATTATCTTATTTTTGCATTTGCTAAAGAAACAACGTTTAGAGACTGCGGTATTAATGGAACGTGGGTTCCAAGGATATATATAGAAGACTGTTTGGATGCAAACTGGAAGGAATCCATGCAGGCAGAAGATGATGCACCTGTCGCAACAAAAGAGCAGCAAAAAGTAAGAACACCATAAATAATAATAACAATAATTAAGTAATTAAGTGATTTAGTATAGATGTATTGTATATTAATTGTACTGTTTGCACATTATTTTTAATTCCTCCATTATCATTTAAGGTATGGTCCTTGTTTATTTTTAAAATGTAATTAGGTTTCGCATTTTTTTCCCTGTATACTTGCATCATTTTAATAATTATTAGTTACATGATTTATGCTCACCATCAGACAATAATTGAAAAAAAAAAAAAAAACGAACGTTGTACCGTATTGCCCAATTCGTACCATTTCCATCATACTGAAACTTCTAATCTAAAATATTAATTGGAATTAAAATATATTCAGAGAGAAGTATTAAATATTACTTTAAAGTTAAATGAACACGTTATCATGATGCATATTGGACTATATAACTGAAATTTATTATCATTGAATTTTTGACTTATTATATTAGGTAATTGGCGTGTAGGTCTGTATAAAAACAGTGCAAAGTTGATGTAACTGTTTGCTAGAAGACATTTCCCACCTTCTTCGGCAGATGATCTAACTAATGATAATTAATTAATAACGATTTATTAATTTACTGTTTTGCTGTAAAATTTCAAAACTTTATGTAGTATCTCTTTTTGATTTTCAGTTTGTGAAAGGTGCTGCAGGAATTGGAAGATCGATGGAGTTATTCTGTATCTGTCTGTCTTTGGTCAGCCTCTTAATCGCTCTATTTATTTTGACTCACTTCAGGTCGGTTAATATGTAATTTATTTATTTATTTATTACATATTTGAATAAACTATGATCACCATTTTAATCATTATCATCATCCTTATTATCTTAAGTTCGTCATAATTTGTATTTATATTGTTTCATTATGAATGAACATTTTTAATTGGCAATTATGTTACAAATTTATTCGACATCGTTGTCACAAATCGATTCCACATATCTGACCACAATAAAGTCACTATGGTATTATATTAAATATCACATATTTGTGAAATGAACAAACGGAAGTGAGGTACAAAGCATTAACGGCTTTAAAAGAAACAAAATGATATCATATATTATAACAGACATACGCAGCAACATACATCATATTTATTGTCACAAATGACAACGTAAAACAACGCATTACATTATTACCCTATTTATAATGGTCTTTATTCATTATCATCATCATCGTTGTCGTCATAGTCATCCTCATGAACAGTTTTTATTGTTTACAATGTAATATACTTTCTTTATTTCTTTGTCATATACGTGTCTATATATATATATATATAAAGAATAACACTGCAGTTGTTATAATAAACGCCGGGCACTTTGACATAGTTTGAGACATACTGTATACATTTATTAAACGAAATTTTCGGCAGCGCCTGCTGCCTTCCTCAGCGTAAGAGTGTCTTAAGTAAAAGATGAAAATCTGGCTATATTAACTAGACATGATAAACAATGCATAGAAGTAAACTAATGAACTGTGAAGAGCATTGCATAGCATAACATATATATCTGTCTCTTATACACATCTAAGGAACACAAGATCCATACTCATCCACGAAGGAAAATGCTTCAATTTTCGCATTTAGCACGCTATTAAGCTCCGTACAGGTACACTTACATATATTTTTTTTATATTGTCAGAATGTTTTTATTTTACTTGTGGCAGCTCCTGCACACCATCATCGGTGCTCTACCCGAGGACATCATTATGGACTATAATGAAACAAGTCAACTTTCATAATGGATCACACACTTTTTTTTTTAACAATCAAGAACACATATCATTATTTTCAAATTACTAGTGCTTTCTGGATTTCTAAAAAGTAATAGACACCAATACGACCCTTATTTTAATTACTTTTTACGAAAACACATGATATTTAATAAATCATAATGCATCTGTCTCTTATACACATCTAGATGTGTATAAGAGACAGTATATATACATATTAAAAAATGAAGATTCCACGTTTGCTTCGATAAATAAAGAATATAGAAAGACAGCAATAAAAACAGCTATGAGTTGTAAACATACTAGAAGCAATATAATTTATTAAATCACAAAAATTTTTCAAACACTCCTGTGTTCTTCCTCAGTGTGAGGACAACGTGTGTGTATGTGTGTTTCATAATTCAGCAATCATCTATTTGTTATGCCCATAGCACCCTAAAATGCCACCGTACCCGCATCCATAAGCATCTGTTTCTTGCTTTGATCATCTTCTGTACCATCACGACAATCATCGATGTTGATGAATTAATCGGTTTCTTTCGGGAGGATATGTGCTCCATTATCCCAACAGATTCAATTTTGTCGACGGTAAGCCTAGCTGAATGTACATATTGATTGAGAATTTTAAGTATGTTTTATAATTGTGGTAGATACATGTATTATTAAAGATATATATTATTAACCATGTAGTAGGGTACACCTATATTATCATACCTTACATATACAGTATATGTATTATGGTAGGCCTACACTCTTATATTACCATGGCATACCTGTACACCTGTATTAATTACACCTGCATTATTGTAGTAAACTCTTTGAACAAATTCATTTAGATTGAAGGTAAAATATTTATGTTGATTCTTTTTTTCAAAAATCTAGGACATTCATGTTGACTACTTATTAATTAAGAAATTCACTAAAATTATTAATGACACCAAACACGCTTTAAATCAGTGTACTGGTATTACTTATCAAAAGTTAGAGAACTAAACCAATTGAGGGCACATAAATACACAGAGAAATTCATTCAAGTCAATGCTATTAATTAATTTTAATGATAGATTTACCAGATAATAAATATAGTAGATAAGTACATTAATTATCTTATTTTGTCCGTTTGTTGTTTTTTCGATGTTTACACATATTTATAATTATAATTATAAATAATTATAATTTATAATTATAAATAATTATTTATTCATATTTATAATTTATATTTATAATTGCCGTTTACTGTCTCTCTTTATCTTTCATTGTATGCAGCAAGCAAAAAGAATTTTATTTATCACATGTTTATTATAAAGCAATCTTGAATCTTGAATCAATACGGTACTCCACAGTGAATACATGTACCATGGTACACTTATATCATGGCATACTTGTACACCACATGGTACACTTTAAGCACGGTACACCTAGCATGGCACGCCTGTAGCATGGCACACCTGTAGTATGATGCACCTCATGGTAAACCTGCACCACGGCTCAACTGTAGCATAAGGGTCTGTGCCTGTAGTATCATACCCTACATTGTACAACTGCACCAAACACCTATATTATGTACACCATGCTGTATATCTACATTGTTGTACACCATTTTAAGGAGTTTGATTCTTTATTTATCTCAATTTACTATGAAGTGGTTATTTGAAACTAATTGAACCGATGTTAACGACTGTGCTTGTCAAAATGCCGAATGTGAAGTTATTTAGAAAGAAATGAGGGTTGACAGGCAGTCGGTGTCCCAGTGAACTATTCTATCGGTACATATTGTTTCTGACATTTACATCGCTTTCAACCTGTTCACAAGCTAACTCTTAAGTAATATATGTTTCACTAATCGCTCTTTTGATCGGAAAATTCTCTATAATATAAAAAGGTTACATTCCTTATGATAGCAATTAAAGATATTTATCTATTTCTCCTTCCCTCATTCTTTGAACTGTCGAATATAACTCAAGAAAAAGCTGCACTCCTCGGGGTAGCAATTAAAGTTATTTATCTATATCTCCCTCTCTTATTCGTCGAAATGTCGCACGAAAAATTTATAAGAATAGTTAGATTAGCAGGGGTTATTGTTTTGTCAGATGAGATTTTATTTTAGAGCACTGTGCAGCATCGTGCATAGAATAGGTCTATTTAATAATCGCACTCGAATGTACAAAATGAGTGCTGCGCATGGCCCAGCCAATCACATGGTCCAGAACGCAGGGTCAGAATGAAACAGAATTTGTGGGGTAATCAAATGATGACGTAAACGTGTGGTAATGCATTTGAAGTATCTCGGATGTCAAGTGTATACAATTTCCTTGTTAGCCTCATATTATGTAAATTTTACGACACTAAATACATATGTTCCTCCTGGAGGCTTTCAAACAAAAATTACGTCGATTCGTATTCAGAGGTTCTTGCGCGATTTCAATGCAGCGATTCATGAGTAGCACACAATATCATCCGGATTAATTACCATTTACAGCTGCTGTCAAATGTGTTTTTCTGTTTCTGTTAAATTGTTAGCTTGAGCTTTCATGTTTAAAGTGCTATTCCCGCATTTTCAATCACTCACGAGCTATGCGTACAGAGTTTATATAACGGTCAATGGACGTACGCGTACATTTTAGTGATGTCATGAGTTGTAGCCTATTAGAATACATCAGAATGCTTAGATGTTTTAAATAGGTTAAATGTTATTCTCTTTACGGTGTACCATTCTCGTCAAATGATAAATAAGAATAGTATGAATGGTGTGGTATAGGTCAACCTGAATGGGATTTTGACAGGACAGGTAAACGTGATAGGTATTGCCATCAAATTTAATCACTTTTTACACTGAAATGGATTTTCGATTGAGGTAGTACACCAAATTGCCTTATCCATAATAACAGTGTACACTGATACAGCCTTAGTGTTCGCTCAGTTTAACATACACATAACACAGCCTTAATGTTAACACTCACAATGTAGGCCTACACCAACGCAGCCTTAGTGCTACACTCGCACGTTATTGTGTCTACACAGCACACTAACAATATACTGTGCATCGTACCAACACATCCTTGGTCTTGCACTCAAAGTTGAGTATACACCAACACAATCTTAGTGTTCGCACTCACAATTTAGTATAACTAAGGGCCTTGAATTAAAATTTAGTGTACACCAACACAGCCTCACTGTTACACTCACAATTTTACGCCAAACACTAATAGTATTCACAATCACAATTGTACAACAAATATTAATATGCCTATAATTGCAAGAGTGAACAATAAATATTTTCTATAAAAGAATGCCGCAACATCTTAACCTTATTCAATAATTTCAAGTTTATCTTAAGTGTTATGTTAATTAAGTTTCTTCTTTCCAATAAGCAATAACTGTAATTTTCTATAGACCAATAAATATTATAGGGTTTTAATTATTGAATGTATGAAATCATTTGTTTTTTGCATTGTGTAGGGAGTTGTGAAGCACCTGAGTGGGGATCTGGAAATATTTTTTTATTTTTTTTTGTTTGGATGTAGCAGGCGTGGTCCGGATAGAGTTCAAGTGTAGACTGAAACACTTACAAATACACACTTATTATAATTTAATACGTTATTTGCCATTACTGTGTATACATTTTTAATTTTCTTAACATATTGACAATATCAAATATCATAGTGGTACTAGTACTATTCTGTTAAGCTAACAATACGCAGGTCTGAGAAACATTATTGATGATCATCGATTCATGTGAGATCTTTTTCATACATTTATGTATCTTAATAAATATAATAATATTGTTATCTTTAAACTTGCTAAACTAATTTTAAATCTTACAAATATACATTATTCATGATTTTGTGATGGCTACCAAGCTTGGGTGAGCACTTCATATCTCTATCTTGATATGATTTGTTTATTGCTTTAATTAAGTAAAGTAATTTCCTATTGTTAGTTAAAATTGTATTGCTTCTGTTCGTCTCATTCGGTTTTCATTGCCTCAATTAATTCTTCCATTTGGATTTTCATTGTGGTATTTCGGCATTAATTTTGATTCATTTTATTATTTATTTCTATTTTTAACATTATTTTTATGCACTGTTGTTATCATGTTAACATGTTATCTGACCAGGAAGTTAATATCAACGATTTTTGCAGTAAAACGACACATGAATATATAGTACACGACACATGAATATATAGTACACGACACATGAATATATAGTACTGTACACTTATCTTGATCCATTATTTTAAAATTTGTTTTAAAACTAAATTATGAACGCCTCTGATTTGTGTCCTTGCAGCCAATATTATGTGAAATCATCGTGGTTCTGAGGGAGTACAGCCGCTTTGCTTTATTTGCATGGATGTTTATTGAAGGTTACTACTTGAATGGGTTGGTGTCAGCGTCTGTGTTTGGGAGTCCAAGATTTATTCTATACTACATTTTTGGCTGGAGTAAGTTACTATTTTTGCTGTTTTAATATGATCATGATTATGATGATGATGATCATCATCATCATTATCACCCTCATCATCACCCATTTGGGTTATTTTAATTACTACTACTACGACTATAATATTACTACTACTGCTACTACAACCAACGTTGTCAACCACTACTACTGATACTGCTAATGCTACTGCTATCCCTAGCGCTGATACTTGGCTTTAACAAACGAAAGAATGATCCGTTTATCAATATCCCAAACATGGTCCTCCATAAGGGCGCTCCTCAGGCATCATGGTACTCAAACTAGAAAGCTCTCTGTACCTTTCAATTATTACTGTATCAAATTAGTTATAGCCTGGTTCTCACACGTACGCGTTTACAATTTCCAATTTCTTATTGGCTAGTGATTCGATCATCATATTCTTGGTATCTGGATCGGGATTTTCTAGTATGGACGCACGGCAGCTAACGGTTAGCAGGATCCGGATCCTGCTAACCGTTAGCAACCGTGTGAGAACATAGCCTTTGACAAACTGTTATAATTAAAGTAGAACTCTACCAAATCATATAGCAAATTATTAGTATGCTACCGGTACCGCATTATAATACTACAAAAACGGCACAGTAATATAGATAAACCACAGCATTAACAGACATTAACATTTTGCTGCACAATTGGCGTTAGACAAGACAAGACAAATATATGTTTTCGTATAAAAACAGACAACAATAATCCAATATAATATAATAATAGCAGACGAAATGGCTTTAACGTCTAAAACAATGCTGTATCTAATAAATAAATGTACAGAAATAATTGTAAGCAATAAAGATAAAGTTGAAGAACTAGCGGTTTGATTAATGTTCCTTTCTGCTTTATACAGTATATGGATAAGATATGGTTATTTAATACCACAATATTAATAAAACTATCCATTTCATTCACATTGGTAAATCAATCGGAATCGAAAACAAAATTTAATTTATATGGAATTATCTAAGCCGCAACTTTTATGCTAGGCTAAGAATCAGTAAGAACTGCTTTGAGCAAATTGCACGATCGCACTTAAAATGCGGGATATTTGTGGTAGTTTGAATTTTTTCTTGTAATTGTATTGTACTGTATTATACTTGATAAGATGTGTATGCCTAAACTGTTATGAATTTTTATTATAAATTAAAAAATGTAATTTAATATTGTATTTAATTTCAATACAGAATCGAACGTAACGTTTAGACTGAGAATGATGAATTTCAGGTTCTACATATTTGATCTTTTACAGTGAATGTGTTTTAAACTAGTCAATCAAATAATGATTATTTGTGCATGTCTTTAGATCAGTGTTTTAATAGAAAACGCTCTCCGTATCAGTAATATTGCCTCCAATCTAATCTAAGATGAGGTTCGTGTAGCATTAACATACAGTAATCATACTTAGTTATCAGCGTATCTTGTTGCTTGCCATCAAATAACCAATTCGGATTCGGTGGCTTAACTACGGTATATTATTAAAGTATCCCTTTCGAGATACAATTTATCGTTCATAATTCACAGTCGAGGGTGTAACAGTATCTATAATTAATCTCAGGCCGTCCCGTCTATTGGAACATGTGCTATTTCTTGTGCAACATGAGGCACATTTTAGTGAATGTAACATGTCTACATCTGTCTTGTCACTAATGTATTTAAAATTAGCACAACGGGTTTGGACATCACCCTTCTTCACGTGAGCATAATTGTATTACAGCTAAAGATCAGAGATATTCGATAGTGAAAACAATTGCCCCAGAGCTTTCAAGATAGATTTGCGTAGCTGCTATATATCTAATAAATACAACAACAACAACAACAACAACAACAACAACAACAACAACAACAACAACAACGACACAGACAACAACAACAACAAGCATACACCCGTTGAGTCGGGGAATTAGGTGGCGATCATGTACATTGTTGAATGGGGAAGTTGAGGAGCCAATCGTTGTGAGTGTTATGGTTACATATGTCATTATTTTTCTGAAGGACGTCTTTGTAGTTAATGTTTTGAGTGTCTTTGCAGCACACTCTAGTCCTTGTGAGGAATTATTGTGCAGTGTGATCAAGAGTGGATCCAGAATGATTCAAACAGGAGGATGGTGAGGGGGCGCACAACAGTTTCAGAATAATTGAATAAGCGAATAGCACATATATTGCATTGAAATTGTTTTTAAATAGTGGCAAAAGGGGACAGGAGTCCTTCCCAGCGACTCCCTCTCCCCTACTGGATCTTCCCCTGTTGCTTTGGGCTACCCTCTTGTATACAGAAATAATACAGTATGCCTAGCCTTGTTGGGCATGAATGAAGTGTTTGTTTTGAATCAAGGTGGATGCATGTAAGGCTTATCCGAACTACTGACATTTAAAAGAACCCGTAAACATTGTCCCGACGTGTTTACGTAAATTCAAAGGTATTAATTGGTGGAGCTGGCTTGACCCTATCTATCTTATGCACTATCCAACTAGACCCGTATACGAGAGATAGAGGATAGGTCCTAGGTATGCTAAACACCTGAGATAGGCCCCTAGGTCTAGGCCTATCTGTGATCGAAACCATAGGCTAAGGTAGGCCACGCCAGGCTAGGGCTGTGCCCTTTGTATGGTTAGCCTAGCCGGTATGGTTAGGCCGAGGTTATATCATGGCTTGTGCCCAGGTGTATTTTTATTTTTACCTGATCGACTTCTAAAACATGCCATTTATTGCTGATGTTTCGTGCCATAAAACTACAATATTTCCAGTATAATGCAATGTGTACTCCGAAGAGTTACGGGAACATGCTTGTCACCCATTTTGTTGACGAACGTGAGAAGTACTGGGCGGTACTAATGACGCTGCGAAACATAGTCTGGTTCTTTCACGGCCTGACTCGATAATTTTTAGACCGAAGCATTGCAGTACAGAATAGATGTGGTTAATTGCAGATGGCACGCTATATACTTAGGCTATGTTCTCACACGGCTGCTAACGGTTAGCAGGATCCGGATCCTGCTAACCGGTAGCTGCCGTGCGTCCATTTGAGAAAATCCCGATCCGGATACCAAAAATATGATCATCGAATCACTGGCCAGTAAGAAACTGGAAATTGTAAACGCGTACGTGCGATTGGTTGATGATAAAAACGCGCTCAACTTGCTAACTGTTAGCGGTATCCGGATACTGTTAACTGTTAGCGCTAACCGATCGGGCGTTCTCACGCAGATGCTAATAACGGTTAGTTCCCGATCCGGATACTAAGGCTCTCGTGAGAACCAGGTTTTTGAGCAACTAGAAATACCCCACGTGCAAACTTTGTATGGTGAACTTGGCTGGCTGCCAATTAATGTTATGCAGGATATTTCGCGCAAAACATATTTTCATCGCATTATACATTATGGAATCACATCGGTGGCCAAAACTTTTATTTAAGGCTTTACAACACATGGATAGTAACTTTGATAATTTGCGTTTTAAATTTCTTAAATGTGTTTCCAATGTTTTCTCAAAATGTGAAACAGAAAATTTTTAAATTAATATGTGATACCATTGATTATCCCATCGGAAGTTGGACCAACTTAAATTTTGAATAAACTTGAAGAACAAGCTTGTGCTGATTGGAGAAGTAATCTTGATCAAAAATCTTTCTTTCAGATTACTCAATTATTAAGAAAAGCCCTTGCCTAGAAAAATATTTACTTGAAACTACAGATTTTGATGGTTTTTGCATCAAATTTAGTTTACGCTCCAATACTTTACCGTTACAAAGACGAATTTCAAGTTGGTCCGATAATAATGATGGCATTTTTTCTATTTGTAGCTTTTATTCAATTGAAGATATTAGATATTTTCTTTTTTCATGTCCTTCCCTCCGTAACATCAGATTGGAAGAACTAGCAAAGCTTGAACATGAAATAATAAATACAAATAGGCCTATTTGGAATCAATTTATAAATTCAACAACCGATCAGAAGTTAATGCACTTATGTATGTGTACGTTTGTATGGTGTTTGTATAATTGTTCATGTGTGTTTGCTTTCATCACTTTATTTTGCCTTAAGTTTTTAGTTTAGGATTGCTTTTAATTTTTTTACATAACTGAACAGTTTCTTTTTACTTTTCCTTTTATGTCCCTTTTGAAAATTTGAATTGTCTTTTTCTTAGCATAAGTCTATTTTTTGTGAACTTTACTGTACCCTGTATTGTTTTGGACGCACCTTCTATTGAGAAGTGTGCCACTGGTTGAAAAGTGTAGTTCCTAATAAATTATTATTATTAATTGTATTTACGTGACCTAACCAACTTGCGAAACATGGCGAAACAGGTACTGATTTTCTGTGGTTTTTGGCTGTTTTTTTCCGTTGTTATCGAATATCCAACGTTAAAAAGTAGCGGAACGTGGTCGTGACATATATGAAGCCCCAGTGTATGAAATATGAGCACATTCCAACGGTTTCGGAGGAGATAGGGGAAGTTACGTGGTGGCGATTAGCAGAATTAATATATAGATAAATAATAATAATAATAAATAATAAATATTAATAATAATAAATAATAAACAACTTTCTGCTGCTGGAATTCAAATGTGATTTAATTCCCTGTTTCGCGTACTTATTCTAAATATCATTGGAGTAAGAACGGAATAAAAATAAAATGTATAGGCCCCTATGTATACAATTTTGTTTTCTTATTAAGCAAATACTTTTGCCAAAAACATCCAGAGTAGACGGAGGAGAAAATAAAAATGAAATTTTATTGGTGAATGTAAAATGGGATGGTTATGGTAGGTTTTGGTAGAAGTGGTTGGCGCATCGGTTGTGGCTTGGACTCCCAACCTTGAGGTCGGGGGTTCGAAACTCTCGCTGTGCAAGTCGCTTGTGTCCTTGGGCAAGGCACTTTATCTATGGTTACCTCTCTCCACCCAGGAGTACAAGTGGGTACCTGGTAGGTTCCAACACTGCGCTGATTACTAGCCGCAATATTATGGAGATATAATTTAATTTAATAATTTCGTTTAGTGTTCAATGTGATCCAATGACCGGGGTAATAATGTGAAGCGCTTAGAGGCTTTGTTAAGGCATTAAGCGCTATATAAGAACGACATATTATTATTATTATTATAAACTTCAAATTTATATAGGGCTAATTAGGAAGAAATGTACTTATCTTATCTCTGGAGATTTCAAGGCAGCGGAGGGCGTAATAAAAATAAAGAAAAACATTTTTTTTTTCTAAAATTTTCACTATTTCGTGGCAGCGGGTGCGCTAATTGGCCCAAAATAACATTTTATTTTTATTCGAAATCATCTAGATTTGCAGTCGGTGGGTTCCCTGAACAAGTTATAAAAAGTAATTCTCTCCTCTTTCATCACACTCTTGCACATGCGTAGTTGAACTGAACTTATATAGGCTATGTATTATAAGCCTGTGTTTAGTATTAACCATTTCCCCATCATATTTAATTGTATCTTATACTTATGTCTATAAATAATGTTTGTAATTATTTGTTGATGCAGATGTTTAACTCAATATAAACTCTTTTTATGTTTTGTTTTTGTTTTTTGTAGTGTCTCCCTTACCTTTCATTCTACCGTGGGTAATATCCATGTCAAGGTCGTATACTTTACCGTAAGTAGATAAATTGAGTATTAAAATACGGTAAAAAGACGTTAATGAAGAAAAGTAAACTTTTACAATTAACTAATGTTTTTTCTTCAATTCTCAATAGGTGTTGGCATGACTATTACAAATCAGGGTACTACTCTATTATTGAAGTACCACGATTGCTGTTACTCACGGTAAGAATACTCTCCTGTATCGAAAAGGTTTATACAACAGTAACTTCTTGTCTATGCCTAATGGAAGACTATGTTAAAAATAGCTTTGGTTTTTTCTCTGGCTGTGTAATCTCGTTTACTTACCCAATGTTGAATTTTTCTTCCTGTTTAGCATCCATTTTAAAATATAATTAATTATTTAACAACAAAACTTGGAGAAAAAACAACTGAGCCAATTACAATGCTTGATTCCTATTTATTTGCTTTCCTTGATGTCTGTAGGCCTACTTAAATTATTTTTATCCTTCGATCTTTGCTAAGCTGGTTTGAGTTCAAACTCCATTTTAGGCCATAATAATGATAGAAATTGTTTCTAACCTTAGTTGACGTCGATTAAGTCGACCACTTCAAACAATTCACTACCAATAACAGAAATTGACGATCAATTTGTACTACAGCGGTTTTTCTTCATTCAAACGCAGATTAATATCGTTCTTCTTGTCAACATTATTCGAGTTCTCGTCACAAAGCTACGTCAGAACAATTCTGGAGAAAGCCAGCTTGTACGGTAAGCTTAATAATGATTTCAATTACACATTTAAATCATGATAATGATTTTGATAATAATGATGGTGATGGTGATTATGACGATAATGTATTGCTGTAAACCTAACTGTAATTATAAATAATGATAATGATACATAATAGTAGTTCAGTGAATACAATCATGGTTCTGCTCTCATTTTGTTAATATAATCAATCTTATCCTCCTATATAAGCCTAGAGAAAATGTATAAACACTATTTTGAATAATACGTGTGCAAGTTAAGATAGCATAATGTCGTTAGATGTATGCCTATGGTAAACCATGTACAAATAATTCCAAGTACGGATTTATCTCAGAGGTATTAACAGATCAAAACCTAATTTTGATTTGCAAATTAATAAGAGCAGTATGCGTATTTCTTCGTAATTCTTAAAATATTTTGTTTTCAATGTATAAGGAAATTGTACATAACAAATAAAAAACAAATCCCATGCCGTGGAAAGTCTTGGTTGTTATGATGGCCAGTTGACATTATGACAATCTTGATTCTGGGTTAAAATACCAATACGGCACTTTACGATTGTTGGAGACGCAAGATATGTTATGAATCAAGAGAAAGATATTGCTGCTAAAATGATTTATACATTATTATAAAAAAAACACAAAATGATAACATATATATTGGAAACGTGTTTTTTTTTGTAATATTAGAGAGAACATGAATCAAATTCGAAACAATTATTTATTAAAACTATAAAATGAAAATAACACATTATAACACACACGTTATATTAATAGTTTATATGCTGCTGATTTAATAATACTGAATTTAAAATATAGGCTGAGTTCTGTTGATGAATTGTTGATGTATTACGATTCAAGATAAAATATTGCTTTTAAAGGATTTATTAGTTATTGAACTTAGATACAAGTTAGATACGAGCATAACGACTCGGCGTTTGCCCTGTTTAATATAAAATTTACCTACGAATTTGTGAATAGTGAAATTCACTGTTCCCTGTTAGATACAGTAGTCAAAACCTGTAGGAGTTTGCCGGCATTGTTGTTAATGTTATTACAGTAGTACTGTAGGCCTATCATTGTTACGGTATTTTTTATGTGCCCATATTATTATGGTCGATACTCTATCAACGATCAGACTTTGATAGCACATTTTAATTAATGTTAGAATTCAAAAAATAATTTTTGTTGTCAATAATGATTGAATGAATGTAGATTCTTTTTTTTTTTTAGTACGAAACTGATTATTTTGAATTTCAAATTAATCGTAGTCGCAGTAACATTTGCATAATATCATCTCCACATAGATAAATGTTTAACAATTGATTTAAATTACTTTTTTCTGCTTTCACACCGGCATCTTGCGAAGTGTTGTGAATGTGATTTATATATTACAGTATTATTTACAGTGGGTCATTCACCTACAGGCTAAAACAGTATTGCGTTGTATAGTATCTTTGGTTACGGGATAGTGGATTTAATGTAATTAGAAACATACAGTAAAATTACTTAATAGCAACTAAAAAAAAAAAAAATACATCCTACTACATCCTCCCCTGTTTTAGCGAATGTCGTCCCGACATTACACTTGTGAAATATGAGGGCTTTTCTATTTCTCAAACTGCCATTAAGAAAAGCCTAAAAACAATTCAAAATGGGGGGACATCAAAATTAAAGTAAATTATCAAGTAAGAACATAATAAAACAGCCAACTTAATGTCAAATTACAAACAAGGTTCCACGTAGGCCTATGATAATATAAAATGAATACGAATGCACAAAGAAGAAACCTATACGTTGACATAATAGACATAAAACAAGTTTTTATTTCGAATAATTCGAGCACTCTTGTGCTCTTCCTCAGCGATAACACGTATGATTAAAAAGTCTTTGAATTTAGCAAACAAGAATAAATAATGAAAGAAGGAAGAGCACAGGAGTGCTCGAAATATTTCGAATATTTCGAGCACTCCTATTTCCACTCGAAATAAATACTGTTAATATATGTTATCACACCCTTTGTGTGGGTGTGGGTGTGTGTGTGTGTGGGTGTGTGTGTGTGTGTGTGTGTGTGTGTGTGTGTTGGTGAAGGCGATGATAATAAGAACAAAAGTCAAGTTGACGTATTTTTGAAATATTATTTATTTAACACGAATATGTATACAGGCCTATATATACACATAGTATATATAGGCCTATGTGTTGAATCCAGGAAAGAGAATTCGCGAGTGTGAAAAAGGGTGTTAAATTAGGCCTGTACCTTTTCCGTATTCTTCTGCAGAAACCCTTAATTTGACTGGTAATCAATTTCAGGATTTTTTAAACGGTAAAATGTCTGTAAATCCGCAAAATAAAAAAAACGTTTTCTGGTTGAAAGTTCTTAACTTACTCGATTCTTTTAAATTTGCTAGTCAAAATGTAAATTGAATTGTTGAGGGTATCGATTTTGTTTGCAGAGAGTGCGTCTTTAACATTTAGTTATCTGTTGTACTGTAAAATAGTAGATAGATTGTATTCAGTAAAGTCGAATTGTGGCATATAGATACAATAATGATTTATGTAAGTCCGTGCCAGTTAATTAGAGCAGAATAAAATGTTTAATTGTAATAAATGGATAGATTACGTCATTTAGCGTACCCTTTGAAGTTGCCGTTTACTACCAACTTGGGAAAACCGATGACGTTTATGACATAATTATTATTTTCTTGGCGCATGCAATGAAAGATAATACGAGTTTTATATAGATTGAAATATTACCTTTATATATTAGTCATTGCAGTGCTAGAGCAATAATAAATAATGATTGATTTTTCTATAGGCCTATATTATATGAGCGCATATAGGCATTCCAAAAAAAGTTGCTTACAGTAAGTCTAGTTTTCCCCGAATTGGTTATCACGTGCTTACAGATTAATTACACCAGAATCATACAATGCATAGACAAGACAACAAGTTTAAATTAATTTAACAAATCAATCAAGATTCTTTAGTCATGTATCCTCGTATATGTTCATAACATGTATCATATATCATAATTATATCATATGTCATATTATATATCACATATCAGAATATTCACATACTAAAAGTCACATAGCGCTATCAGATATCAAGCAATCGCATAGGGCTACATTATATGTATCAAACAGAGGCCTTCAAGATCATGATATAATACATTAAAAAAATTATAACCTGTTAGACAATGTTAAAAAACACAAAAAACGTACCGCGGAGCATATTATCATAATTATGATCTCGCATCCGTACTAACCGGGCCCAACATCACTTAATGTTGGTGATATCAGAGCTGATGTTCAACATACCATACTAATTTACGTTCCTATTAATTGACTTTCCGGTCTGCACTGTTTTATGTCTCTAGCTCGTCGTGTGAAATAAAAGTAACATGCATGTCAATGTAAAATATCAATATTTTTCATTCACAATAACAGAACATAACTCCATTGTTATATTTCGATAGGAAAGCAATCAAAGCGACGGCCGTTTTAACGCCACTACTTGGAGTTTGCAATCTCATGTATTTGGTATCGCCGGTCACCGAACCAACTGAGAGTAAAGTACTTATTGTTTTTACAGTTTGTATTTTTAAACTACTCCCTGCAATACAGGGCTTCATCGTGGCCTTACTTTACTGCTTCTTAAACGGGGAGGTAGGTACATAACTTAATTTAGTTAGGTAGTTAGGCTAGGCTAGTGAAGTCTTTACCCGGGCCCCTGACCATTGAATCCATTGGCTGACCTTGTCCTTTGATCTTAACACCCTAACATTTAATTACCTGTTCCTTAGATCAATATGTACCACTCCATCAAATTTTATGATGATTCATTCATTGGTTTTTGCTTAATCTTGCTAAAAGGCAGAAATACATGAACTCTTTGGCGGTAAAAAGCTACGTCAATATCCACGTAATTTGTACATTATAAGCCCCCTATCCATAATTAAGTGTTACGAGCGCCAATTAGAGCAGTTTACGTTATTGTTATTAAATGTAATTTAGTCATTAATTCAGAATACCCCGGTACATTACAAAGAAAAAAAGAATACTTGTTGAATATTCCTCATGTTATTGTAAGACGGTTCTAAATGCTCTTAATATCATGAGGCTTATGCAAACAACATGCTCAACTGGTCGAGTATTTCCTGCACGATTATTGTTTAATATTATGTAAACTAGACACTACAATTCAATCAAAGTAAATCTCTCTTGAATTGATGTTAAAGTGAATTTTAATTGACTTTTGTATCAACTGATATACAGGATGGCATTAGATATGCTTCGTAATCTTACTTGTTCCAAGTTGTATTTATTGTTCTATCACCGAGTGATAGAAATACATCTCATTGCAGTGGCGGATCCAGGATTTGAAAGAGGGGGGGGGGGGGGTGTTCATTTTCCCATAAACTCAAAAATGAAAGGGATCCTTCCCCGGGAAAATTTTGATTCCTAGATGGCCGGAAATGAGCTTTCCCGACTTCTGAGGTGTCTTTTAATTACCTTTAATCTTCTTCAAAATTCAAGGTTTTACCTCTCTTAAAAAAAGTTCAGGTGATTTTTTCTCATTCTTAGGCCTATACCATAGAAAATAAATCAAAAATATATAGTCAATATATTATTATGCCTATATCATACGAATTCTCACGCATCCAGCGTGAACCTCACGCTTTTCGAACAAATTCAAGCTCTCAAGGCACTCTCTAAAATCTCACCTTTCCACTAATCTCAAGCTTTATTTGATTAAACCCAAACTTTTTATCGAAATAGGCCTACTATAAACCCTTGCAATTCTATATTTTATCAGGCCCAGATCATCGAAAATTCTATCGTTATTTTTGAGGTTTAATTTCAGCAATAGAGATATTCAGAGTACACCAGAGAGCACCTAAACCCAACATTTTTCGGGGCCCTTCGACGGGCCCTCGACTCACGTCAATTGGGTTTATTTCCTGTTAAATCTCAAGCCTCTAGCTAACTCCAACTTGGCATGTATTCTATATTCCAACATTATTGAGTAGTTGGATACGTAGTCTTTCTTCCATAGATCGATGAACTGATAGGCCTGAAGAACACACTTTCGTACATAAATTAAATGAAATATATTTAATGATATAGGCGTATGTGCTACCATCACCAGTAACACATAATTTGAAATAAAAGTAGGCGTATCGTAGATGAGAATCACTAATGGGTATTGACCTCAAAAGTACTGTAGAAGTACAGAAATAATACTTCCGCTACTTGCCGGAGTGTTTTTTTGTGGATGCAGAGAAAAATGGGTACCGTATATAGAACGACTAGAAAATAGGTGTGATATCGAAATTCCAAAAGAGGAAACATGTTATTATGATATCCTGTTTTCTCTCCTCTATTTCTTATGTAAAACTGGATTTAAACTTTCAAAACGTATCTACAATGTGTATTTAGGCTTCATCAATACTGTATTGCGAATGCATCAATAGTCAATTAGCCAATTGATTGAATAACGCTTTTGTATCATCGCACACCTTTTTAGTGTAACCTTACAATGACTAGACAATAATTAATTGATAGGCCTATAAAGAAGACACAAAATAAAAAAAAAATATATATATGTTCTCTCTCTTATAAAGTATAATGAAAATAACCTGATGGAAACAAATCAATAGGAAAACTAGGAGGAACAATGCATCGAAAAAAATGGGAGGGTGGGGGAATAGCCTGGGGAATAACTCTCTAGGTAGAAAATAATCCGTGGGGAAAATTAGCAGGTGGCAGGTAGCCACCGTAATAGTGCTATATTCTGTAAAGTGAAGCCTCAAACCACTTCGATTTTGAGTCTACTAAATTTAAAAATCTTCCCAGGCTTTTCCAGACATAGCTAGAACTAACTTAATCTTTGGCGTTTTTAGATAGCAGATTGTTTTTTTTTTTCCTTTTTTTTTTTTTTTTTTTTATTTTAGTGCATTTTAGATTTCAGTGGGTTAACCCGACTCAAAGACAAGTTTGTACAAACCAACATGCACATTCATGTAGGAGCCATGTTCACACGCATGATCTTTTTAAAATTAAAAATCAAAATTTAAAAGTAGATAGACATTTTGAAAACAAGGACAAACAAATAATTTCTCCCTTTTTACAGAAACTCCTTTTTGGATGAAGTTGAAACTAATACAAAAACAAATTCTTTTTTATTTAAAATAATTTTTTAAAATGAATTAAGAAACATTAGAAAATTCAAGATTAAATACATTAAAAATAACAAGCTTCTGTTCTTTTG